CCCCGGCACAGATAAGCCTAACCCCGCCCACTTGCTCGCTGCGCGGTCGTTCACCTCACTTTCACCAACAGTTCGTCAACGCGAGAGCGAGTGTCAGTATCGCACGTTGCGCAAATTTCGAGCGCGAACGAAAACATCGATCATGTTTCTTCCGTAGCGTGATTCGTAAAAAGTGAAAAGTTTCATGCGAAAATCTCCATATTATCACTGTTTGAAAAATTGCATAATCGTTAAAAATCGTCGATTTCACGTAAAACTTGTCGTTCTCCACGTTCCCGCTCTTATAAGAAAGTTACATGACCGCTAAACAGAAACCGCATGCTTAACACGTATTCGAACGCTGAGCACACGCTTTTATCCCAAGTTCTGTTTCTTATACGAGAGTCCCGTGTAAAGTTGTTTAACTTGAGAATCAGAAAGGCGAAGCCTTAGCGTTCGAATACGCGTCAAGAACACGATCCCTGATGCCAATGCCGCGGCTTTAAATGGCTATAATGCGCGTATAAGTCGCGACATGAAATAAAAGTAAGAGAGTCTTTTTAGCACTTAATTTGAAAAAAAATACGGTAAATACGATAACATGCGTAACACGCAACCACTTTCACTCACGATCAAATGGTTCACATTCCTTACGTAGTAACCGAAAAGAATTTATAAAAAAAAAAAAAACTACAATGTTCTTTCCGTGTAAAACACATGATGAGAACAAGTTGTAAAAAAAAAATAAATGAAATCTTCGAATTTTGAGGAAAAAAATGGAAATTGTGACGATTCGTTATTTCTTGAGAAATAATCACAATAATAAGCTATTTTCAAAATGAATAATAGTAACAGCAGAAAGTTACTTTAAAAACGTTTCTTACTTTGAAAAGTTACTTTGAAAACTTCCCTAATCCTGAGTTAATCTCCGCGTAATTACTTAATAAGGACACGAATATAACGAGCTACGGTTGGCCCAACGATTCCTTCTAAGGAAAAAGTTTGCGTAACGATTGGTATTATTAATCAAGGACCTAAGGTGAGAAGAGCGCCACGCAAGCGTGCGCGCACGCGTTTCTCGTTTTCTCGATTATCTCATACGATTTTGCAATGGCGCGAGGGCGGAAGCTCGTCGTCCGAGCGACCGATTCTGTCGACGTATCCTCGACATTGAATCGCGCGAGTCGAACGACGACGGTCGAAGGAAATTGAACGGTCGGAAGATTCCTTCGGACGAATCTGGCCTCGGATACCTATGCCCGTCTCGGATTTTGTCAGCTAATAATAGCCAGGCAGCGCATGCCGAAGAGCTACTATCTTTTCGGCGACGTGAGTTTGCTTGTTTTCCTCGGCACATGCCGGCGGCTATGAATAATTGTCCAATCTCTTGTAAATGCAGCCCGGTAGTCTCGCAAGTACGCAAAGAGAGCGATTCAATTTAGCTGGCGATGGCGGATGTGTCGCGACGCGAGATGTATAATCTACCGAAATATTAACACCCTTCGTCGCGAAAAGAGAAGAAAAAGAAAGAACACACGATCTCCCCGTGAAAGATGGATCTATTGAGAGAATCCATCGACGGACAAAAAAGATATGACAATGAAATATTACAATATTAATTATGACAATGAATAATTATTCGTTTATATATATTTTGTGCTAATTTGTGTTTTGTGTCGTAGATACTTTGAGTATATATTTTCACTTGGGTACATAACTTGGGCATATAACTTCGAATTCCATACATCAAACGAACACGTGGTCGTCTAATAGAATAGGATGCGGCGAAGTACCAAGTATATACAATCGAAATATCTGTGATAAAGATCGAATCAAAGTAACTAATTGTCGTGCAACCTGCATTAACGTAGCTCTGCGCATTAACGTAGCGCGTTGTCGAGCAATTAATTAAAAAATTTTAAGTTATCAAATTTATTAAATTTAAAGTTACATAACAAAAATCTAGAGTCAAAAAAAGATTGATCGTTCAATTGATTTGACCTGCCAGTTTGAGAGAAGTGCCCAATTTAACGGGATATAATTTTTTGCTCATTCTCTTGATTCTACTCTGTCGACCTGAACTTTTACGGGGGATACATGTGCGATGAAGGTTTCGTGAAATCGCGCGCTTAAACGTCTTGTTAACGAGATGTCTCGTAGGATGGCACACTGTGCGTACTGATCGTTTAGCTGTCGATCTAGCCCGCAAATCGCTCACCAGCCTACGCCACATAAATCAACGCCGTCGTCGATCGACGACCAATGTCACTGCCGCGAATAGCACGTAACGTGATGACAGGTGTCCGTGAATAAATAATTGATTATGTAATTGCTACCCTTATATAGAACTTCGAGCTGCGCCGCTCATTTCTGCTGCGCAAACATACAATTTTCGTTACCATCGTCGTCGCGATAACGACGGCTCAGAATAAACATACGACTGTTGCGTATATATTAATAGATAGTAGAAGAATTAATGATTAAGAATCGCGTGTGACAAACTCGACGAGCAAGTATATCTGTTTCGTTAAGATATAATAAAAGGAGATAAAGTTTAACGCAAAAACTACGCGAATGCGCGCTCATTCTCTTCCGTATGAAATATCGATCGATACATATATTTTGATCGATCGATACATATACGAATAAATTGGAAATTTCTACTTTTAAACTTTTACCACGCGATCATTACCAACCCAGCACGATATAAGGTTGTATTATATTCCGTGTAGGTGGCAGCAGGAAAAGGCGAGTGTGGATTGCGACCACTGAAATATATACTAGTTGCTTTCCAACAAGAGACACAAGTCGACACAAGTATCATCCTATCTTTGTTACTCATTAAATGTGGAATTATTACTGTTGAAAAACAGATGTTCTATAGGCTGCTATGAGGAATAATATGAAAAATATTGAAAATAAGGCTCGCCGAAAACAAGGAGACGACAAAAAGAAGCAACATGAGAAAACGTTCGATAAAAAAAAATATAGGTTGAAAAAGTACAGCAATAAGTATAAAAGTAAGTCTATTGCATTAGTGTGAAATTAGTTATGAAATTTAGGTGAGATCACATTCGTTAAAATTTATCGTTTACTCAATATTTATCCTGTTGCATTAGTTAATCAATGGGAAGAAAGAAGAAGAAAGGCCGTGATGCGTGAATTTCACAAGGAACTCAAGAGAAATCAACAGGATTCCACGCAAACCTTAACAGATTTAAGTGATACATCAAAGGACACAGATACAAGGTATGTAAAGGATTGATGCAAATTAGACTTTTTGCGATTAATCCTATAGTCATTATTGAATATACTTGTACTCTTTGATTTTATGTTTAATTTTATTTTCTACTGATTCCTTTCTCTTCACTGATTAACTGGTGAAAACAAGTAAATATTGATTAAGTAACTAGTTTAGTAAACTAAACTAGTATAATCTAACCTAAATGATACCTATGCAATTCATACCTATATTAAAAGTATATTAAGATCTCCCTCTTTCTCTCTCTTTCTATCTATGAAGAATATATTATATCTTTGTTAAGAATATATTTTTATCTTGAAAGCAGTAACTCAGAAAAGAAGAACTATGCCTTTTTTAAGGCCAAACAAGCCCATAAGTGTATAATGAAAGACAAGAAGGAGAAGATGGAAGAAATCAATCGTAAAAAGGAAGAAAGCAACGAAGCCTTAAAGAAATACAAAGAGAAGAAAATGCATACTTTCAGGGCATTATCGAAGAAAACTAAGAAAGGACAACCCGTCATGAAGGGCAGGATAGAGTTATTACTGGAAAAAATCCAGGAAAACTTAACGTGATCTATAATTGCTACTTAGAGAATATAATAATTTGTTTCTGCTATTTGGCTAAAATATGATGAAATCATAAAAATAAAAGAATAGTCACACATATTGTGCATTATGATATAGCCTAATATCATTAAAAAGAGAAAACATTTGTTTCTATAATAACTATGTATAAACATGTATAAAATACTTGAATTTTGTAGTTTCTTAAAAGTATTATTAAAGAAGCACGAGTCAAAACTTGTCTTACATCTATTGGAGAATGTTGAGTCTTAGGATACCCTGCATCAATGCATTGAATCAACAAGTAAAAGTATAACTATATATTGTGATATAGTTTAACATCAAAATCATTTTCATAACAATAATGAAACATATTTATTTCTGTAATGACTATATATAAACATACAGGATATCCAAGTGGTTTTGTAATCTCTTAAAACTATAAAATATAATAATTAATATAAAAATTAATATATATATTAATATATTAATATATTAATATATTAATATATTAATATATTGAAGATATAAGAATCAAGACTTATCTCATATTTATTGAAGAATGTTCTTGAATCTTAGAATATCCTGTATGAATGTATCAAATCAAAAAGTGAAAGAATGACTACATATTGTGATATAGTTTAACATCAGAATCATTTTCATAACAATAATGAAACATATTTGCTTCTGTAATGACTGTGTATAAACACATACAGGGCATATTTTCACTTGTTGATTCAATACATTGATACATGGTATCCTAAGACTCAAAAACATTCTCCAATAAATATGAGATGAATCTTGATTCTTATATCTTTAATAATAGTTTTAGGAGACTACAAAACCATTTGGATACCCTGTACATGGTTATACATAGTTATTACAGAAGCAAATATGTTTTATTATTGTTATGAAAATTATTTTGATGTTAACCTATATCGCAATATGTAGTCATTCTTTCACTTGTTGATTCGATACATTGATGCAGGGTATTCTAAGACTCAAGAATATTCTCCAATAAATGTAAGAATCTTGACTCGTGTATCTTTAATAATAGTTTTAGGAGATTATGAAACCATTTGGATACCCTGTATATGTTTATACATAGTTATTACAGAAGCAAATACATTTCATAACAATAATGAAATATATTCGCTTCTGTAAAAACTATGTATAATCACATACAGGGTATCCAAATGTAGTTTTGTAAAACTACTATTAAAGATGCACGAATCAAGATTTATCTCACATTTATTGGAGAATGTTCTTGAGTTTTAAGTTCTTGAGTTCTATCGAATCAACAAGTAAAAGGATGACTGCATATTGTGATACAGTTTAACATCAAAATCATTTTCACAACAATAATAAAACATATTTGTTTCTGTAATGACTATGTATAAGCACATATAGAATATCCGAGTGGTTTTGCAGTCTCCTAAAATTATTATTAAAGATATAAGAATCCAGATTCATCTCACATTTATTGGAGAATGTCCTTGAGCTTAGGACTCATTACATTATATCAATGTAGACTCCCCCTTCCTCCAATAATAATAAATAGAATTTTGTTTATCGTAAACTTAAAACTCAATCAATTTAATTTTTAATAGAACGTTATTCGTTATCTTGATATAAGATTGCGTTATTCGTCGTCTTGATATAAGATTTGCGAATCCCATACAGTCGAATAAAAAAAAAATCGCCATGTTTCATTTCAAACTTTTGCAATATATTTTTCTGATATCCACTTATATAACAATCTGGAATTATTTGACTGTAATTCGCGAATGCAACAAATGACTCGACAAATAAATATTACGGGCGCATTATTCTTTGCGGTCTCCATTTGATAAACACTTACCATTGATGATTTTCTTCCTCTTGACGAATTGGATGCGTAGATCCCTTTTGTGGCCAGTTTGGATCTGTTATGATATTGCGAATGGACGATACTTATCTCCGCATTCCCGGTGGCCCATCTCCCGAGATTCGATTTTGGCAACTCGTCTAATTTACGACGAACGAACGACAATCGCTTTTGACATTCCCGACGATGTTACACGCAGTATTCTTCAACGGATAAATACCGATAATTTGAATTTTGAGCCGCCATTATAGACGACACTTAGTTCAGTACTCCCGACAGACGGTTTCGCGAGATATTCACGTTTGGCAGCTATCACGACAATGTTCATCATGCTGCACATGTAACACTCACTTTTGATATTCCCGGCGAAGTGAAAATTATGCGCGAAACTCACCTCAGACGAGCCAACGTCGCAAGAAATACGGAACGACTCTTCCGAATTGCCGCGCCGCTAACCGTTCCAACTGAATGAATATCGCGCGGTTGAGATACTGAGATAAGAAGTTACAGACACGCTCAAAGAAAGATTATGATTGGCTAGACGATACTTGGTATCATTTGAAGCATGAAGTGGACCCCATTCTCGAAGTGTCTTATTGGATGCATATCTCACTTCCGTTACTCTCGACCAATCAGACGCGTCTTCTAACTAATGATTGGCTACTGACCAAATGTCCTTAACCAATCACAGGAAGAAGAAATGTCTATTATTCTCAAGTAGTACGTCTCAACGTTGAGTCAACCATCCTTTCTACTTCATGGACGTAAGAATACACGGACTTTTAAGTTTCTCCATTGAAATACAGGCCGCGATCCGTGTTACGCATATGCGCGCATTTATCTATAGTATACTGTAGGAAATGCGCGCTTCATGCGCAACTTGGAACGCAACCATATACTACTTGGAACGCGCGCTGCCTCTTGAGACGTGCGGGATGAGAGAGAGGTTCTTTGTTTCTTCTCTTATCCTTGTCTGGTTCATAGCATAGTCGAGATTGGACAGAATGTGATAAAATTCAAGTTAAAAGTTACAGATAATATGAAAAGCAGTGATCACTGAATGGCAATGACTTATCAACGAGTTTAAGATATAAAAAAATTTAAGATATAAAAAAAATATATTTTTTTTCTCATTTATTAGTATTCACTTATCGACTTTATTATTAAGAAAAACAAAGATGGTTCCTAATTCGGAGATTTAGCTTATGTTTAGAAATCAGCCGACTTAGCTTTTGGTTCAGGCTGTACTAGACAAAGACAGAGCGCTGTTCTAGACCTATAAGCATACTCTCTCTCATCCCGCAACACTCCCAGGTAGTATATATGGCTGCGTTCGGAAACGTCACCCAAGTGTACCCGTTGCGTTGGAGTGAGCAAGTACAAGAGTGAGATAAAAAGAGAGGGAGAGTATTCGAGTGACGTTTCCGAACGCAGCCAATTTCAGTGAGTTTCTCTCTGCTAATGAACACCTGACGTCATCTAGTGGCGTTGCAATAAACTCGTAAGCAAAGTTTGAGTATCGTTACCGTTTTTTTCATCTTTTTCCAATTTTAACTAATTTCATTTAAAAAATGTGTTTGAAGATGCTTGTATTGTAATCACGGAATATCCATTTGTTGTATTATAATATAATTGGAAACAAGTTAGTAGAAATATTAAAGTGAAAAAAAATAGCTGACTGCTGTGTCGGAAAAGTACGAAAGATTCAACAGTTTGCAAACGGAGCTAATGCTTCCTGCGCAAGAATCGAGACGAGACTCAGCGATCTTGATAACCTATTTATCTGACATAATAAACAGGAATTCTATCCGATGAAATCAGTTCATTATCGACCGATCGTTCTCAGTAATCTTTAACATAGTGTGATCTTTTCGTAGAAATGCAATCACGGTGCATTCACGATTCGATTGCCACGAGGCTTTCGTGTTCGGCGGCGGATCAATCGACGAGCGTTACCACCGCCATCGAAGTGAAGCTCGGCGACGAGAGACGAGAGAAAGAGAGAGAGGGAGCTTCGAAATACGAAAATGCACGCGGCAGCGCGTATCACGCGTGCGCGCTGGCATTTGACGTGCGGCCGTCGTCCGTCAGAGCTAGTCGACGGTTGCAAATGGCGACAGCCACGAAGTCTCTGGCACGGGCTCGCGAATAGTTCCACGCCTACCGTGCGCCCCGCGACCGAGCCGTGCGTGCAACGCAACCTCAGGTCAGATCGGTACGTACCATTGGCGAATTCGACGAGCTGCGTCGCGATCGAATGGGTACGCGCGGCGTAAAATTCAGCGGGAACACGACGCGACCTTCTCCGTCTCTCTCTCTCGCGCGCGCGACAGCGCGGCTCCGAAGAGGCGAACGAAAACGCATTCGTTCGTTCGTTCGTCCGTTCGTTTGTTCGTTCGTTGCCCGGAACGCTCTTCGCGGTCAATCGATAAGTCACGATCGTTGTCGCACGGCTCCTCGCCGTCCCTCGATCTCGCAAGGATCGCGCATGGATACACGGCAGCGGGCGCCGGGAGAGCGCCGCGCTGTCAAAAATCCGACGGATCGTGTCGGTTCCTCGTTGTATCGCGGCGACTTCCCGGACGTCGTTGCAGAGCTAACCGCGATCACGGACGGTTATCGTGAGGCACGTCTTGCGAGACACGTTCGCTCGCTCACGAGCGGAGTCGATCTTTTGCCCCCGTCCCGCCGGATGGCACACTTTCTGACAGTACGTCTGCGGTCAAAGGAGGAAAGAATACGCATGTAAATTGTTCGAACGAGAGATGTACGTGCGCGAAGGAGCACGATAAGAGTGGCCACGCGTCCCGCTCGCTCGGTCGTTGCGTCAGAGCAGCCGCTCGGCGGTGCGATGAAGCAAATGCCAATTACAGTAGATTCGCGTCGCGAGCACGCACGTCTCGAGATTGGAGGGGAATGAACGTCGAGCGTGTTTTCATTCTCGGTCTCTCTCGTTTTGCAGGTAGCTTTAAACAAAACGAGGCAAAATGCCAGCCGTCAGAGGAGATGGCATGCGTGGATTGGCGGTGTTCATATCGGATATCAGGAACTGTGAGTATCGGTACTTCGTGAGTCGGTATTTTGTGCTCGTACGTGCGCGTATAAGAATCTCCTTAATATCGTCTTAATAAACAGCATTGCGCGCATTTTTCTCATATTAATATAACGGATCTGCATTCTTGATTATGAGAAAGAGAGAGACATGTTTCATTCATTGTGTGATACCGTGCCATTGAAACTGGAATGGTATGCATTTAATGCAGAGAGGAGTAAGAGAAAGGGGGCGGAGTTCTGATATCGGCCTATCTTCCTGATAGAGCTGCTCTCAAACACCAATCTGTTGACACATTGGCATCATTAGTTGCAGGTTTATGAAAAACACATGCAAGCTTCCTCAGCACACTTTTATATATATGTTGATCAAATAGATTGATAAAATTTTGCATTTATTTATATTAATTAATCATGGCTTACTCTCTTCGTACCGTAGTTTTAATTTTTAATTTTGAACGACATGGAAGCACATTGGCCTTGATACTATGCCAGTTGGCATATTGCCATTATCTTTTATATATTACATCATATATTACTTATGATGTTATTACCGATCAATATTCATGTGAAAATATGTTGCATACAAAACTATCATACTAAAGAAAATACTGTTCCTCTTGTAAAGAAATCATCATTTTGTAATTTCGTGCAGATCGGCTAAGAACTCTTGTGTTCTCAGGTAAAAGTAAAGAGGCCGAAATCAAGAGAATTAATAAGGAATTAGCGAATATTCGCAGTAAATTTAAAGGAGACAAAACACTTGATGGATACCAGAAGAAGAAATATGTGTGTAAGCTGCTGTTTATTTTTCTCCTTGGCCACGACATCGATTTCGGGCATATGGAGGCCGTCAATTTGTTGTCGTCGAATAAGTATTCGGAAAAACAAATTGTAAGTAATAAATGTGCGAGTTTTTTATACCAAGCTTGATTAATGCGGTCCCATTCCCTGACCTTGTGACATTTGAAATTCTCGTTTTTTCAGGCGATATCATATATTAAATATTTGTTATTGTTAATTATTCGCGAAAAATCGCAAGTTCCTAGAATATCCAGCAATTACGATGCATGAATATACTCCCTTAAAAAAAAAACGATTTGGCTAAACTATGGTTGTCACAAAATGTTATCAAAGGAATGAAATCAGGGGGGGAGGGATAGTGTCTATGGCAGTCTATATTTTTCGCAGAGTTTTACAGAATAACTGTACAAGATTTGGCCCAGATTAGTCAAAAGGTTTAAGAGTCCATAGGGAATATAAACAGGTACTCTATTTCATATATACAGATGACGACAAAAAATTTCAAATGTGTGGGGAATGGGACTACATTTATGAAGCTTGATGTATATCTCAAGATCAAATATCATTCCCTCTATTTCAGGGTTACCTTTTCATATCGGTCTTGGTGAATACAAACAGTGACTTGATCAAGTTGATCATACAAAGCATAAAGAATGATCTCGCTTCGCGCAATCCAATTCACGTAAACTTGGCATTGCAGTGCATTGCTAATATCGGTAGTAAGGAGATGGCAGAGGCTTTCGGCAATGAAATCCCGAAACTACTTGTTTCAGGGTATGACATCATATATTCATTTGTAGATGATAACATTGTACATTAATTACGCTCACGGCTCACACAATAGATTCTGATTTAGAGTAACTAAGCTCGGACTTAATAACTAACGGACTGTTAAGCTGTAGAGTTCCAACTAAAATTTCGAACTTGTCCAGTTTCTTCTCCAATAGCGATATTTCGGTTGAAACTATATCACTCGATTGACCGTTAGTTTGATCGAAATTTAGTCGAAATCACCTTTAATCGATAAACGATATTTGTCGATCAGAGATACTATGGACGTTGTAAAGCAAAGCGCCGCGCTATGCCTGTTGCGGCTACTGCGAACTGCCCCTGACGTTGTACCCGGAGGCGAGTGGACGTCTCGCATAGTCCATTTGTTAAACGACCAACATTTGGGTGTCGTCACGGCCGCGGCGTCGCTCATAGATGCTCTTGTAAAGAGAAATCCTGAGGAATACAAAGGCTGCGTCAGTCTCGCAGTTTCAAGATTAAGTAGAGTACGTTATCAAATTATTGTCAATTGTATATCACGGTAAGAATGTTTTTTTCATGTTTCCTTCGCGATTGTTTCCTTGCAGATTGTCACATCGAGTTATACAGATCTGCAGGATTACACGTATTACTTTGTACCAGCTCCGTGGTTATCCGTTAAGTTGCTGCGTTTACTGCAGAACTATACGCCTCCAGGTATTTAATTTATATACAGAACGCACAATATGTCTCATAATATCTCGCAATGTTTACATGAGATTTGCATCTGTTCGCAGCCGAAGATCCGGGTGTAAGGGGCAGATTAAACGAGTGTCTAGAAACAATACTAAACAAAGCTCAAGAACCACCAAAGTCAAAGAAAGTGCAGCATTCAAACGCGAAGAACGCTGTGCTTTTCGAAGCCATTAGTTTAATTATCCACAACGATAGCGAGCCAAATCTCTTAGTACGTGCATGCAACCAACTCGGTCAGTTCTTGTCGAATCGCGAGACCAACTTGCGATATTTGGCGCTCGAGTCAATGTGCCATTTGGCCACTTCGGAATTCTCGCACGAAGCCGTGAAGAAACATCAAGAAGTGGTCATATTGTCAATGAAGATGGAGAAGGATGTCTCAGTGCGACAGCAAGCAGTGGACCTATTGTACGCCATGTGTGATAAGAGTAATGCTGAGGAAATAGTTCAGGAAATGTTAAACTACTTGGAAACTGCTGACTACTCGATCAGAGAAGAGATGGTCCTCAAGGTCGCGATTCTAGCCGAGAAATACGCGACTGATTACACCTGGTATGTTGATGTCATCCTAAATCTAATTAGGATAGCAGGTGATTATGTATCCGAGGAAGTCTGGTATCGAGTTATCCAAATCGTTATCAATCGAGACGACGTTCAAGGTTACGCCGCCAAAACCGTTTTTGAGGTAAAACACACTGCTTTTTTCTATTTACTAAAATCATTGGCTTCCTTATTTTTATGTGTATCGTGGTATTGTAGGCGCTGCAAGCACCCGCTTGTCATGAAAATATGGTTAAAGTCGGTGGTTACATCCTTGGAGAATTCGGTAATCTCATTGCCGGCGATCAACGGTCTTCTCCAGCTGTTCAATTTCAACTCTTACATTCCAAAGTGAGTACGTCGTTATTTGCAGAAAATTTGTATCAGCAAACACATATATGAATGTGACATAATAAATTCATATGTTTTTCACAGTATCACCTCTGCTCTCCTATGACTCGGGCATTGTTGCTTTCGACGTACATCAAGTTTGTGAATCTGTTCCCTGAAATTCGAAGTCAAATACAAGATGTCTTCAGGCAGCACAGTAATCTACGTAGCGCGGACGCCGAATTACAACAGAGAGCGTCAGAATACTTACAACTAAGTATCATCGCCTCGACCGATGTTCTGGTATTTGAGACAATATCCATTAAAAAGGAAGAATGCGACTTACATCCACAATTATGTTATCAATGTATTTATGTTTATCTTTGCAGGCTACCGTGTTGGAGGAGATGCCAGCGTTCCCTGAGAGGGAGTCCTCTATCCTTGCAGTCTTGAAGAAGAAGAAGCCGGGTCGAGTGCCAGAGAATGAAATTAGGGAGAGCAAGAGTCCAGCGCCAAATACCAATCATCACGCTGAAGCTCCCGCTGCTACAGCAACCGTGACTGTTAATAATACCTCTGCTGATCTGCTAGGATTGTCAACTCCACCCTCCTCTCAACCGACTAGCAACACAGGCGTATTGCTTGATGTTTTGGGAGATATTTACAATATGGCAAACAAAGTCGGTACTACTAACGGCGCCCAAAACACATATAATCCTAAAAAGTAAGTCGTACTGCATAGTAAAGAGATAAGGGATAGAAAAATGTTAACGCGTATATATCGATGAGTAGAGAAATGTAACACATTACTACTGTATTTTTCTTCTTTCCAGGTTTGTTTGTAAGAACAATGGTGTTCTGTTTGAGAATGATTTGATACAAATCGGTGTGAAATCTGAGTTTAGACAAAATCTCGGACGCGTCGGTCTTTTTTACGGGAACAAAACGCAGTTCGCATTACACAGTTTTCAACCGCAACTCTCTTGGACGGAAGAGAATCAGGCTAAGTTAGCTGTACAAGTGAAGCCGATCGATTCCGTATTGGAAGCTGGCGCACAGATCCAGCAGATGATCAACGCGGAATGTATTGACGATTACAGCGGTATGTCGACATTATTAATGATTTCCTGATATCTAATTTATTTTAATCTTTTCAATTGTATCTTATACGTGTCTTTTTTTTTACTGACAGATGCGCCGAGTATGCTTATCTCTTTCATGTACAATAATGTGCCACAAAAAATCACTATGAAGTTACCATTAACAATTAATAAGTTCTTCGAGCCGACGGAAATGAACGGGGAATCGTTCTTCGCAAGATGGAAAAATCTTGGCGGGTACGTGACACAATACGTTTGTTAACAAAAAATCGATTCAAGATACCGCCGGTTTTACATAGAATTGGTTTCCAGAGCGAATCAACAACGCTCGCAAAAGATCTTCAAGGCGCAACAACCGATGGATCTAACGCAAGTACGTACGAAATTGCAAGGTTTCGGGATGCAATTACTCGACGGCATTGACCCGAATCCCGATAACTTCGTTTGCGCCGGAATTGTTCATATGAGGGCGCAACAAGTAGGTTGCCTGTTGCGCCTAGAACCTAATAAACAAGCGCAGGTAAGCTCTCCTGGATTCTCGAATGTTCGCGACACTTGGTGCATTTTCATTCGGAATTCTTATTTTTGCAGATGTTCCGCTTAACGGTGCGCTCAAGTAAAGAATCTATGTCGGTAGAGATCTGTGACCTGCTGGTGGATCAATTTTAAGCGGCCTAGCAGGCGTGAATGTTGACAAGAAATAAATATCACGTCGTGAGGGGATACATTGTTACTATGGGAGGGTGTCATCTCGCGTCGATCGAAAAGATACTGAAGATTATTTGTTAAGAGATATTCGCGCGTTGTACCCAAGCTTACACTCACGACGCTCTTATGAGAACTATATCCTCGTATAGGTAGTTCCGTGTCACCGTGTATCAGTTCTGTCGAGGAAGGCATAAAGGTTTGAAAATCAGGATCACCGAAGTCGGTCACGTGCGGAAAGAACGAAGGACATAAAGTGGCTATGATAGACAGTATTATTGCATAATCGGGGATAGTAAAGGGGCGGATTTACTTCAACGGATCCGCGCATCTTATATTGCATGTTTACGTGAATAAGTGTGACGCGGGGAAAGAAAAGGAGAGAGAGAAGAAACTAGATACCTTAGCTGAGCATGTACGTACATTATAGAACCACTCGAGCCGCATTACAGAAACAAAGCATATATTTTTATTGGGTTTTACACGAGTTTCCTTCTTTATTATTACGATCGATACAATTCGTAATATCGGTAAGATACTGTCAGGTCGTCGAGGGTGAGACATCTCTTTGTACGTGAACGCCTCATTGTGAACATCTTCTCATAGCCTATGTTGTGATTTTCGTTCAGTTTCGCTAGTTGTATTAGCATTGATACTTCGCCATAAGATTGCCGCGTGAACGAGAGTAGATTTGGGCACAATGACAATAGTTGTATGATATTAGCTGTTTATCATAAATATCTTTATACATCCTGAGCTCGAAGTTCTATCCCAACACTTTCATGTTTTTCACATTTCAAAACTAACAAAAGAAATTATTGATAAACATCGATCCTAAAATTATCATTTTCTAAAATCAGCACTACATGTTTACATTTACGTGTTTAAGGTATTACTTCATAGCGAATGTTTGAAATGATAAGATATACACATTGACGTGTCGCGCGTATCAGTGATTGTACGATCAAATATTCCAGACTATTTTTTTTATGACATTGTATTTTGTATACGTTACTGTAATTTTTTGTTGTTGAATTCTGTGTCGAAATGTGGAAAAAAAGTATACTCTGAAATTGATTAATGTTATAATCGTAATCATTATAATATAATTTATTGATAATATTTATTATTTATATAGTTCACATGCTATAAATAAATATAACTGTATTTTAAAAAGCGATGACTGTAAGAGGTATGTTTAATGAAACTTTTGTTAGTTTTGAAGTGTAGGATACGTTTGTAAATTTTGTGATAGGACTTTGAACCCACTCTGTATATTTAATGGAGCTGCAAATTAATTATTGTATAATTAGTAGTTTATATTTAATTGCTCCCTGTCACGAACTTGAGTTTAAGAACAATTTTCTAGATTTCTATATCGTCGATGTTAATGTATGAGTCCATGGCTGATCATTCCCACATTTATGAAACAAAATTCCACGTAGAGTACGTTGTATACTCTCGATACATCGTTGATTGAAGTCTAAATGTTTACGAGTTAACGGTTTGTAACAGTAGAGATGCGTTTTATCGTCTCCAGAATCTTACGTAAGATGTATATTTCAGTAGAGTATCCTGTACAGGCAACATCGCGATGAAATCAATACGTTAAAACTTCGCGGAATGTGTTTTATAATATTAACGATGGAAAGAGCAGCTCTAAGTATGATTTAAATGTCGCTTTACAACGATCGGCGATGCGTCACCGATTTTGTGAGGCTTCACGTATAATTGTACATATGAAATTTGAATTAATTACAAATGGCTATAAACATTCACGATACACGCAGATTGCACTACTCGTAGTCATTACAAGCTCAAATTGTTTTCTTACTCATCACTTATGCTTTATTATTCAGGGAACTAAGATGTATATTTTTCATATTCGCGTATAATGTAAATCTATGTCTAATGACCCTATTATATTCCTCCTTCCCTTAGATTATGTATATTAGTCGTATTTTAATTAGTATGGGTCGAGAGAACACGGCGATATCAGTTTTTTACTTCTCGATTTACTGTGCATATTAAGATTTTGTTATTACTTTTCTTCCTCCTCCTCTTTTTTAAGATTCTACTCTATTTTATGATACAAGACGAGATGCCAATCATTTGGATATTTTATCGTTAGATATAAAATTGTAATCGTTGAATCATAAGCAATGTAAAGGAAAGCATGAGCGTTTTATATTTTTATCCCCTTCGTTTTATATTGAATAGTTAATATTTTAGAGAAACGTTTTGTGTAGATTGTATATGTTATTTATCTTATTCTAAACTCTCTGCATACCGCAAT